TACATCTAACCCTTAACTGTACCCCACAAAACCATAATAAAAAATATTGATTAATAAAAATAAAATAAAATAAATAAATTAATTAAAAAATAAAATGTCCAAGCCCAGAGTAAGGAATAGTTTATATAAAAGATACAAGAAAACTGAAAAAAACATAAAATAAAAAATTCTTAGCCATTTTAGTTTTTGCAATAATAATCCTAATTATTGTGTGTGCAAATGTATTTCAAAACACCTTTCAGAAAAATAATACTAATAGCAAGATTAAAAATTTGACAGTGGTTCATTGCTTAATTTTTCAGAAACACAAAGAAACAATTTTCTTGAGAGACTTTAATGACAGAATAGAGGTCAACCTAGTACCTTTTTAGAAGTCTGACATCTCTAGAATTCTACAACCTCATTTTTTTTGCAATCTGGATTACTTGAATTTATAACATTGCAAAATATCTCCAGCTAATAGTATTTATTAAAATAATGTATTACTAGGAACTTGGGAATTATTGCAATAAAAATAGAAATATTTTATATTGCAGACATCATTTTGCCTTAGGTAAGTGCTGCAGAATGTAAGAAATTGCCTTTTTACCTAATATTGTCTATCGTTTGTTTATATAAACAAAGCAACTTAGAGAATGTTGTCACACAATGGGCAAAATATGGAAGAATGAAGGAGATAGTCCTCATGCATTAATTTAGTATTTATGAGTGGAATGCAGTATACAGTAGGAAAGAGAGTCCTTAATGAACATTATCCTCAGTCTAACAGGAGAATCAAGGTAGACACCAATATAGCTAATACAACTTTAGTAAACAATTATGCTATACAATTTGATCTGGTTGTACAGAACTGTACATCAAAAGGATAAGTAACTAAGATGTCAGGTACAAGTATGGGTGATAAGTAGATGGACCTTATCTTAAAACTAGAGAATGAGAAGGCAGATGTAGAATAAATGAAGACTGGGAATTGTGAAGAAAAGACTGGTGAGGTCCAACAAATTATGGGTTTGCAAATCTTGTTGTGATAAAAAACAGTATCAGTTATTGGATAGCTACTCCCTGTAGTGAAATTATATTACAAATGTTTAATATTGATAGCATATCTTTTAAAAGACTTTGCCTAAACAAGAGAGATGAAAGAAATGTTAATTAGAATTAATGCACATTTGGAGGAGAATAAGGTGGATAATTGTGCTGGGTAACTTTGATATCCTAGTAAGACTTCATAAGGGAAGTAGAGTATTACTGAGCTTTATATAATAAGAGTGAAACAAGTAAATAATTTGTGACCATTATTACTGCTTAATACTCATTTTTGTTGCTTCCTAATATGTGAAGTAAACTGTGAGACTTACCTATGGGGGGAAATAGGAACTCTGTCTCTGACATGCAATTCTATTGCAGTGCGTAATTTTTTTGAAACGAGTTAACAGTGTGACATATAGTTATATAATTAGACAAACACATCTGGGTTTAATTTAACTTGAACACATTCTAAAGGGTAAAAAGCTTTGAAAATGGTTAGAAAATACTATTAAAGATCTAGTCTTTAAAGGTTTTTTTTGGAAATTGAAAACAATTACAGTTATGGGTTTTTTTTTGCATGATTATATTTAAACTCAATAACTGCACACAGTATAATGATGAATTTACTTGCCTAGGTACATAAGTGATGATTCTTCAGTTGTTTGTTGCACAGGCTCAGAGAGAAAAAAGTTAAGTACACAATCACTCTGAAAAACAAGACAAAATATTTCTTCATTTATTGCATTTGTTGATTACTTCCTATTACTAATATTAACTATTACACAAAACATTCCCATATAAAAATATTTTAAAATAGATACCAGCTATAGATGTCATAAATACAGAGTTTACCATAAGTTAAACTAGTCTTTTGTAAGACTGAAAGCTTGATTACTTTTTATTTTTTCAAGAGGTTCAAGTGTGCTCTGCTCTTGGTGCTTGCCATAAATGTCTACGTTATTGAATTTTACAAATATCCATGAATTTCACACGTCTCTTTTCCAAAGAAAAAGTGTATCCTTGGACAAGTCTTTCTGAGAAAACTTACTTTCAATACGACCCAGATCTGAACTTAGTGAATAACTGCTACTCCTCGAGGTTTAATTCTAGGAACACTCACTGAATACTGACTATACTGATGGCACTGGGGAATGTTAGGTGATATTTAGAGACAGAAAGGCGCATAAGGTGTTCTCTATCTTCAGAACAAAAGCTAGTGGAGGAAACAGATTATATTACATACTTCAATATAAATTCTATTTATGTATAATTTTAGTATGTGCAGAGAAACAAGTGTGTTTCTCTTTTAAAAGGGAAAGATCACAAACAAACATTTAATCTGAGCTCCAAATTAATAGCTAACTGGTGAATCCGAAATTATCTTTTCCTTAGCAAAATTGGTGCATGTTTTGTTGAAAGCTGCTATATTACTAAGGTAACCCTCTCAATAAGACCTCACATTATTATCTAAAGGGTACCACTGAATAATTGATTATTTTCTCTGACTACTTATGATAGGTTGATGCCTTACTAGATGTCAAAGCTACCTGACAGTCTCCCTGATCAATGTTCTCTCTTATTCTGTACAATAGCTCTTTCAAAGCTTCCCCAGAAAACTTTAACTTGCAACTCTGACTCCTTTTCTGCCAATGACTTTGTTTCCACATGGGAGAAAATATAAGGAGGATGAAAATTCCTATACTTCTTGCTGTAATCTACTGATACACAGCCATATTTTCTCTTTCCTGTTACAATGGATGAAATGTTTCTTCCTATTCATTATAGGTTGAATTGTGTCTCTCTTCCAAATTCATACATGGAAGTCCTAATCTCCAATAACTCAGAATGTGATATTATTTGGAAATAGGATCATTGCAGATCTAAGTAATTAAGTTAGGATCAAGTCATACTGGAGTGTGGAGGCTCCTTAATTCAATATGACTGGCATCCTTAAAAAGGAGGAAATTTGGATGCAGATATTCATAGAGGGAAAACAGTGTGAAGAGACACAGGGGGAAGATGGCCATTACAAGTCAAGGAGAGAGACCTGAATCTATCCTTCCCTAATAGCCATCAGAAGAAACCAACCCTGCAGGCACCTTTATCTCAGATTTCTAGCTTTCAGAACAGAGACAATCATTTTCTGTTGTTTGAGTCAGCCAGTTTGTAGTACTTTGATATGGTAGTTCTGGCAAACCAGCCAATGCTCATCCCTCCCTCTGTGTCCTGGATTCTATTGTTTTCTCTAGAAGCTTATAGCATATTTCCATCTATAACTTAGCATCTTCACCCTCTACCTTTCTTTCTTTCTCATCAACATAAAATATGGTCAACTCTCTCAATTTTAAAAACTAACAAACAGATTAGTCAAACCACACAAAGTATACTCACATAAATAGTATCTTGTTATTAATGCCCCTTCCAAATCATGTGTTATTTTTTCTCTTTTCTGACATAAACTGATGAAAAAAATAGTCTGTATTCACACTGGTTCCATTACAATTTCTACTGACTTTAGGATCAGCCACACACAGGTTTTTGCCACTAATTATCCTCTGAAAATGTTCTTATTATTATCTCTGACAACATTTCTCTTTTAAAAATGTATATATTTTTCTAAATCCAATGGGAATTTCCTTGGCCTTTATACAGCTATTTCATTTTCAGCAAAATATTCTCTTTCCTTTGCTTTTATGACTCCAAGTTCTCCCAGTTTATCTTCCATTTGTTCTGGCTTCTCTCCTGAGACTTTGTTTTTCAAATTATTTTTTCCTTTCATTTATAATTTAAGTTTTAGTGTTTCTCACTTCTAATTCCATCTCCCTCACTACTCTAATGCATTCTTTCTGGGTGATGTTATGATCTTTGGTGGCATCTATAATGATGCACACATCTAAACCTTTGTCTCAGATTTTTCTCCTAAACCTAAACCCTCTATATCAAAATACCCCTTTATTGGTTCACTTGAGTGTTTTAAAAACAACTCAAACCTAAAAAGGGTACCAGTAAATTAATTTTCTTTCCCCTCATCTCAATTTGTTTCTTTTCCTGTGTCCGGGCTCAAAATAAGATGTGTCTTCTTGGACTCTCTGTTCTCCTCATCCTATACATAAAGTGAATTGCTAAGTCATGTGCATTGCTCCTCCTAAATATCTCACCTATCCATTTTTACTTCCAGGTATAATTGCCATGTGGTAGAGGTTTTTAACTCTTATCTTGCTACTCTTTAATTCAATGCCTTCTCTACACAATTGCCCAACTGATCTCTCAAAATGAAGATCTAATAATTAACTGCTTAAATTCTGCAGTGACCTGCATTGCTCTTCAGAAAAAGCTAAATTTAATTAACAAGGTTTGTAAGGCTGTTCTTTCACAGCTGTAAGACCAGTCTTGCTCATTTGCCTATCCTCATCTCTCACCAATTCTCATCTGGTATTTCATTATTGACTATGCTAAATTATATTTATTTTTTTCAATGTATCACTTTCTCACAGCTCCTTGTCTTCCTGCCTGATTCTTTCTCTATCTTTTCTTCTCTATGAATTCATTTGCCCAAGGCTTATCATATGCTCTTTATTCTTGTTAATCTAGACAGTGAGATATGAAGAGCTGAGATTGCGACTTATTTACTCTTGCCTAATACACTGTTTCTGTTCAATAAATACTTTGTATAGAAACAAAATGGGACTTGTCTTCAAATATAGAATACTTTGGTTTCTAATGTAAATATTCTTTTGTAGGTAGTACTTTAGGCATCATTGTAAATTAGTCAATTACCAATTTTCTTCTCTATGTGTTGATCTCTTGTGAGCTTGCCTAATAGGAGTCTACTTTAAAAAATGAATCCATATTCAGGGAGTTGACAAGTCAAGTTTTTAATTCTGAAAACTTAAACTCAAACTTTAGACTGCAGAATCTGTTGAAGGAAAATTGACCTTCTTTGGCCTTTTGACAATTAGTCAATTATTCTTCATTGACAACATTTTGACCTCATTACCCAGTAGTTATTAAACTTCAGTGGTAGGTAAGATATGCTTTAAATTAGTGTCTGAAATGTCACTACTAGCTAATTATTCCCTTGTGTTTACACTGTCGTATCTTTCAAGTTCTCATTTATAATTCTGGGTGTGGGCAACTAAACACTAATCTTTATTATTGTAATAAGATTTTTTTCTTTCTTTCTTTTTTTTTTGAGTTGGAGTCTCACTCTGTCGCCCAGACTGGAGTGCAGTAGCACGCTCCTGGCCACCGTAGCTGGGACCTGCTGGGCTCCGGTGATCCTTCTGCCTCAGCCTTCCAAGTAGCTGGAACTACAGGTGCACGCTACCATGCCCGGCTAATTTTTTTGATTTATTGTAGAGATGAGGTCTTGTCAAATTGCCAGGACAGGTCTCGAACCCGCGGGCTCAGGCAATCCACTCACCTCAGCCTCCCAGAGCGCGGGATTACAGGCTGAGCCACCGAGCCCAACAATTGTTTTCTTTCTTGACGATAAACATGATCCAGTGTCAATAGAGGAATAAATCAATAAGAGAGATGAAGTGGATACAATAAAGTAATATTGTTGGATCTCAAAATAATCAACTGTAAAATTTTCTTAGGTGACTTTACTTGTGTATATGTATCCCATAGCTTTTCATCATATTACATCACTAGATAGTTTGAAGATTCATAGAAATGTTAGTGCTACAATTACTCTCACTTGTAATCTACACCAGCGTTCTCAACTAACTTTGTATTGTCTTCCAAGCTGTATCACCACATTTAGTTTTGTAAGTTTGATGCTGCACAACTCTGGGGGTGGGGGAGCATTGTTATATTGACTATGATGTACAACTATATGCTGCAGAGGGCTCCCCATATGCCAGATATAGTAAATAAAAACAGAAGATTGTCAGGCAATATTTGGCACATACTTTTGCTAAAAAATGTTGTTTATTGAAAATTCAAGTTTAACTTGGTAGCCTGTTAAATCTAGCAACCCTAGAATATGGAATGCTTGGGAAGCATATGGCTTCACTTTTGGTTGTGTCAATGACTGGAAGGCACAACTGGAAATGAATGGGCGAGGCCACTTTTCCTAAGTGTCTTGAAATGCCTAGAAGATTCCTGGAGGAATATTGCTTTTCTGCTTAATTCTTCAAATGCTTATAGTTTCTGTAAAACCTCTGATTGTAAATTCTTTATTCTAGAAATGAGAAAATGGAACACCAGCTAGAATAAGTGATTGTTTGGATTTGTACAAACAAAAGTATGGTCGGTAACCACTGCAAATGGTCTGTAGAAGGGAAGAGTGCATACAGGCCACAAGTGAGAGACATGCTTTTTTAAAAATAAAGATGACAGTGCAGCATTGTGGAAGAAAGAAAAGATGGCAATAAGCTTTAGATAATGCCATCAGCAAAATCCCTTATAAGCTCAAAATATTGTGTTCTCTGAGCATTTCATTCTGCTTCCCCTTTAAGTCTCTGAAGTGGTTGTTGTGCCTCTACTCATTTCCTTCCTAACCATGGTCCTGGAGGGAGATAGAGTAAGTATTCTCCTTGGATTTTCTTGCCCTTCTAACCTTCACTGTTTCTTGCTTTATGAAAATGTCTTGCTTTGACTATCATGTCTACTGACTCTGTTGCCTTCTGTTCCATGTTTTTACCCTTGCCCACTGGATTTCTAAGTAACTGTCTTCAATACACTCTTATTATAATTCAAT